TCGAAAGCTGCTTTTTGAATTAAAAAACATTGTTGGCAATGACAACATCTTTAATTAGCTTCGAGCTTGCCTCGGCTGGGGGCGGTGCCCCACTGGAGGGAGATACTCGATTGAGGAAAAACTCCGGTAGGTTGGTGCCGGATCTCGCCATCCACCAGGAGATCACCACCTCCACCTCCAGAGAGAAAACATGCACTACACTTACGGGACGAATGACCTTGGCTCTTGACGCGCCCGGAAACAAACCACCAACTAACCGCAACGAAGCACACTAACGATGACAGCGCAGGAAAATTTCAAACATGTTGAAGAAAATCGGTACCTGGCAATACTGTCCCCTTAAGTAAATTGTTAGAACATATTCAAAAAATATTATACATTGCTAGTAAGGATGTAATAGTAATTTACTAGACAACGGACATGAAAAGAATGACACTTTGCCTGTACCCCTGAAATAAATGACTCTGATCTAAATAAAACCGTTCTCCTACAAAATCACAGTGTTTGAAATGGTTTTAATTTTCTTTTGCACCGATTATTGTTTTCCGATGTACGCGGGCACGTGAATTTCTTAGTCCATTTGTCTCGTTGGCGTAGTGAATATTTTATTCCGAGAGATGAAGATGCTCCTTCCATGCTGGAAGACTATGTCTGGTGCTACCAACACGTCTGCTTGGGAGAAACTCCCCCTTCGGCGCACCGTTCCAGCCGGGACAAGCTTTGTGCCCCCAACATGTGAGGTAGTGTAGTGCATGTAAGTGTGTGTAGTAAGGGTTGAGGATAGGTCAAGGAGCCAAGGACCGCTCACGGCCTGTGACCCGTTTGTTAAGGTACTACTCCGCCTGGTGTAGATCGGAGATACCACGGAAAACTATCGATCCGAGCAGCCGGTCGCTAGAATTCTCCTCTAGACAACGACTGAATTCGACCTCGCTAAGCAGCTTGGGCTGAAAATCCTGCTACCATCGAGACTCGTACCTTCGGATCTCCCAGTCATACTACGGAGACGACAGTAATATTGTTTCTAAGGTAACTCAGTCGCTCGACCAATGATACGCCAGAATGATGTGAACTGAACTTGTCTTTGGGTTAGGCCGTATGCTGTTTTCCGGAGCCGCGAGAAAGGGAGGTGCCGAGCAGGGGACTCTCGTGTGTGTGTGTGTACGTGTGTGTGTGTACGTGTGTACGTGTCTGTAGGTGTGTACGAGTGTGTGTACGTGTGTACGTGTCTGTAGGTGTGTACGAGTGTGTGTACGTGTGTATGTACGTGTGTGTGTACGTGTGTGTGGATACGTGTGTGTACATGTGTATGTACGTTTGTGTGTACGTGTATAGTGCGTGTGTGTACGTATGTGTGTAGGTATGTGTACGTGTATGAGTGAATGTGTGTGTACGTGTGTGTACGTGTATGTGTACGTGTGTGTGTACTTGTGTACGTGTGTGTGTATGGGTGTCTGTACGTGTGTACGTGTCTGTACGTGTGTACGTGTGTACGTGTCTGTACGTGTGTACGTGTCTGTACGTGTGTACGTGTCTGTACGTGTGTACGTGTCTGTACGTGTGTCTGTACGTGTGTAGTGTCTGTATGTGTGTACGTGTCTGTACGTGTGTACGTGTCTGTACGTGTGTACTTGTGTGTACATGTGTTTACGTGTATGTGTGTGTACGTGTGCAGGTGTGTGTGTATGTGTACGTGTGTGTGTACATGTGTGTGGGGGGTGGGTAGGTGCCGGCGGAGCAGGGCGTCGTGATGAATGCGGGCGAAGGGCAAAACCCAGCGGAGTCCGCCGGGGGAGCAGTTCTGAGCCAACCCTTCTGCTCTCCGCTCCGCCCAGGGGTAGAAGCTGTCGCTAGGAGGGGTGCGGGAGTGGCGGCCACGATGCGGCGAGGATGGAAACTGCTGGAAAGTAAGAGGAAGGCATACCAATAAGGGAGGGGAGATTGTGCGGGGTAAAACACGAGAAAATTAAGGCGTGCAACGATAGAAATGATACGAAGAACATGAACATGCAATCGCGGGAAGGTAGAAGAGAAGAAAGGCAATGAGATTTAATGGTGGAGAAAAAGAAGGAAGATAAGTAGCTTGAGGATCAAAAGAAATAAAAATAAAGCAGCAAAACGAGAATAAATTGAAAACTAGAAAATGAGGAATAATATATTGTGAAATGTAGCCATATTCACCTGGAGGGAGAGGAGACAATGTTACAATCATTACGGAAACAGCAATAAGCATTATAGTATTTGAGCTCCCTCATGCATATTTTTCGGTATATCCGCCAGTAGAGAATCACCCCAGATGAAACAAGCTCTAAGACCTCGACTAATTTTCCGACATGTATGGTAGTTCAGTGCAAGGGTACGTGTGTATATGTGTGCGGGGAACAGCAGATAAAGACGGAGGAGGACGAAAGATTGCGGACGGTTCGTGGCTCTTTTGTTAAGGTACTTCTCCGACTGGTATCTCCGCTTAGTATTGATCGGAGAATCCAAGGAAACTGCCAATCACGACAGCTGGTTGATAGAATTATCCACTAGACAGTTGCTGAATAACACTCAGCTAAGTAGCTGATATCAAAAATCCACCACCGACGAGAATTGAATCATAGGGCTTCCCGATCAGAGACCTTCCTGTGCCAACAACCCGAGACCTTAACATAAAAGTTTTCTTCCGGCAGTTAAGTAAATTTTACAATAGAGACGTGTAAAGATGAGTGACAAAATGACAAGAGACAAAATGTCTCCGTAACTTTGTCAATGTCTAGAAACGTTCACTTCCAGTTAGGATATTCTTTACAGAAAATTGGAGAGAAAAATATGCATTGGAAATAGTCATTTTAATGTAGTTATGCAGAGAAATTGTTTAGTCCGAAAATATACATGATTACTATCTTCCAGATAGAACCTGAAGTTTCTCAGAGATGCTACAAAATAATCATACACTGAAAACTTATTTTTATTGAAACCTTTCTTCAAACATTACAGACAAACTGCTGAAATATGTTGATCGTTTACAATATTTTATTAGCAACGCAGTATAGCTTTATAATAATATTCATAATAATCATAATAATAATCTTCAGCAAGCACCCCATTTCATAATTGACTTATTATGATTATGATTGAGTCATTATATATGATATTTTGTCTTTTGAAAATATTACTGAATTATTACTGATGCGGAGAGGTGGGTAGATATGGTGACCATAAATTTTCTTCCAAACGTCAGGAGGTGTAGATTAATCGAACACTTGCTAATAAATTGCTGATCTCCATGTTTCATTTGTACCGATTTTTACCCATTTCATCTGTTAAATTAAGTTGCACGACTTTGGAAAAAGGTATTTTGTTAAAACCTAAGGGTTTAGTACTATATATTTTAGACATCTTTGAAATCTTGTTTTGACTGACGTTCTATGACGTGAAATAGTTGTTTTATATTCACGGCAATCAGAATACGAAGAAATTAAATGCAGAGAAGGACATTCATCTCGATACTTGCGAGTGAAAATTGACTCCTTCTTGGATGCTAGAATATCGTGGAGTGAAATATTTCGTGTCTACGCTCATGGTAGGGGGATGATGGTGATTAAGTGGTAGATTTTAATTAAATGTCAATTTTTGACTTTAAAACAATGCCCTTTAGTACAGACATTATTTGTATGTTAAGTCAAAAGTAAATTACCCATTTTTATACATTTGTTTGCATGTTTCATTCATTTTGACTAATAAATAATTTTTAACTTTTGACCTTATTTTTAAAGCATTTTGAATTATTCCAACATATTTAACATCATTTTATTGGCACTTGCTTCAAATGATATTTATGATATGCAACAAATGGCCGCTACAGAATTCCTGAGTAGCCTATCCAATTTCTTCTCTCACAAATTATAATGTCAGCCATTGTATGAAACCTAAGGTTCCTGTGACATTGGCCGCGCCATTGTTAGTTTGACCGATTTTCGGATAACTAAAAATACAGATTTCCTGATAAAGAGCAGTCCAAACCAAAACTTTTCAAACAAAGTTCACTTGAACAGAAATGAAAGAAACCTGAATTACATTGTTAATTTGAAGTGGTTTTTGATCAATTTTTTACGCTGTTTTTCTTTTTTATGGCGTGTTAAAAACACTTTAAGTGCATTTAATTGATAAATTTGGTCGACATTTAGTTCATCAAAATCTGCCCCGAATGATCAGCAATACAATCTACAATTGTCAAAGAGTAGGTTTGTTTCAGAACTACTGAGAAAATACTCCGACCCGGAATCTGCAAGACATTTCTCTATATCACTCTCACAGAACATTTTTCTTTGTTAGTTATACACCAGTTCTTTAAGGTACTACTGGCAAACTTTGTAACTTAAGCGTCCCAACATAATTCAATATGTCTTACATTTTCAAGGAAAACAATATTTTCTTTAAAGGAAACGGTATTTTAATTATGAAAGACTGCTGACCTACATTAAATTTGACATTTCATGCTTTTAAAAGAGTTGCTTGTATTAAATCACAGTAATATCGCAGAGTAGTATTACTATGGTTTAATTGAATCATATTGCGGTAAATCGAGTAATATTGTGGAGCATTAGTCAATAGTTATATCTTAAATAGATACCACCACAATTATTCCAGATACAACCTTTTTATTTTTAAGAAGCATGAAAATGTGCTGATAGAACTAATGACACAGTCCATAAGTTGAAGATAAAACGAAATCTCAGAATAATACAGCCGATTGAAATGTTTTTGACGTATCCAACTATCGATCATTTTCCCATAAATGTGTAGTTAGAACTTTTATTGTAAGGCCTCGAACTGTTACGGGGAGTCATCTCGAAGGCCACAAGTCAACAGGGAAATATGTGAACGAAAGACAACGAAGAAAGAAGTTCCGGGACGAACGGCTGCTAGGCGGAGGAAAGTGCAGAAGGTGGCGGAGGAACAGAATGTCCGAGGGCGGTGGCAGATGAGTCGTCGCCTGGTGCTACAAAACGCACCAGCATGGGGCGGCGCGGTGCGGCGCGGTGCGGCGCGGCGCGGCGGAGCGATAGCTGGGGCGTCGACAGCCTCCGGTCCCCCGGGCGACGGCGGGCATCCGGGCGGCGCTTTCTTGTGCCCGAACCTAATGGAATTCCACCGGCTGGTCGGACGCGGGGGCGGCCGGCGCCGCCGCCGACGGCGCCAGCGGCGCTCACAGCAGACGGCGAGGACGGCACAGGCGACAACCAGGGCTGCAGGGGTGACGTTGGAGAGGGCGGTGGGGACGCCGAGGGCGACAAGGGGCGAAAACTTTGGATCGGGCGGCGGAGGCGGGGACGGCGAGGTCGGCAGGGACGACAAAGATGGAGAGGGCGGCGGAGACGAAAACGGCCAGCAGCGAGAGTGGCAGAGGCGACAACGGTGGATAGGTGGGTATGGTGAGGATGGTGGAAATGGGAGAGCCAGACCGAGACGAGATCTGGACTATGAGGAGGGTGGAAAGAATGGGAAGGATTGCGGTAAGAGGAAAGGGGATTGCGTGAATGGCAAAGGTAGCGTGGGACGGAACGGTGAGAGTGGCAAGGACAGCGGAATACGTGTATACGTAGGGGGTGGAGGAGACGTCGTGAAAGCTCAGTGGGCGGAGAAGAGGACGGCGGTAGGAAGGGAGGGGCAGGGATGGGTGGCGATTAGGATGGTCGTCCGGGGCAGGGACAGTGACTCTCAAGACGACGGGGTCGGCGGACACAGCAGCGGACGCATGGGACGTAAGGGGGAGGAGGGGGAAAACTAGCAATGTGAAAACGGGGTCAGCACCAAATGAGCAGAGAATTGATGTAACAGAAAGAAAGCTGAAAACGCAAATAAGTACGATTCTTTAGGAGAAGTTTTAAAGATGAACTAGCAGAACTTTTGCGTTTACATTGCACAATAAACTGACGAAAAGTTGCAACAGAGAAGTAAAGTATACACGTGATGGGAACATCCTCAAAATGTTTAATAATGATCAGTGTTTATTCTCTAACAAGAAATGGGCGAGATTTACAAATTCTGAAACAATACAACTACTATTCACTATAAACACATATCTATACATGTCTCTGAAAAATGTAATTGAAATATTTTAAATTTACCAAGAACTGGACTTGTAAGTTTTAGTAGATTGTAGCTAGAAATTCTGTTAAACACCTTAATTTAAAAATGGAATGAGTCATATACCGTTTACGTAACTGACTTTTTGCGAAAAGACACATATCAGACGATTGCTGAATATGGCATTTATATAAACTCGCTAATCTTTGCATTTAAAACATTCAATTTTAGAACTTTAAAAACTCGTTATCTTCGCTACTCACTGTAAGCTGTTATTCACACAAGCTTGTGCTAGATCAGAAATAAAGGAATGACGGCAGACATGTGTTCATTCTATTAATTTTACGATTTTATTAACATTGGTTGTTTATACTATAAAACCTATTCATTGTAGCACGCTATGACACATCTGTGGATTATTGCCTTTCATTTAAAGCAAAAGTTACGACATTTGGTTGATTAGAAAGCTGGAATTTTGTTAAACGAAAAACCTTAGTGTTTTAAGTAAATAGATTCTACATGTAAGAACAAATGTATCTCATGATGTGGAATGAAGCATTCTGTCGAATGAACATATAATGTACGTAATCACAAGAAGTGATAAGGCAAATTGCGTGGAAGACTAAATTCTGCGATAAATGTATTAATAAACGTTATATTAGTAAACGCATTAATCTCCCACATTTTTATTTCAAAATCTGGCTTGATATGTTCGTAAGTGTTTCATTTTCTTTCAGCTTTAATAGTAAAATATGCTTCTATTAACCGTTGTAATATAACTATTTAACAGGATATTGCACCCCAGTTGATTTATTTTCAAGGAGGAACAATCGAAAAAGCAGACCAAATAGTTCGGAGATAAATTACGCCAATAGAGTTTTGAGGAGACTGTTTCGTGCACGCGCCACTTCTACACAATGGCGGACATGAACTACATTTAGTAATAACATAATGAAAAACGGCGTCATTGATTTGAAATGTCAATGTTATTGTTTATTTGCAATCAATATGAAAAATTGGTTTCACGCTTTCATATATCAATCGAACGCTCGGACCACGTACTTAATGGAATTGATGGGTAATTATTGGTTTCATACTTTACATGCGCACCGTATCTCATAGTATTTTATAGCACCGGTGACTCGTTTTCAATTCAAAATCTACCAAACACTGTTGACTCTGGGTAATATATGTACGTCCATTTAGATGAACGGAACAATTTTACATTTGCTATGAGCACAAAATACGTATAAATTATACTCTATATTCTTTTCTTCGAATATTGGCGTTGAAATTTTCATTAAAAATAACGATTTCTAAATATATATTATTGTGAAGAAATATTAAATAGCTCAAATTCTTGGTGAAATATTGCTTTCAATATGTTTTTGTTATACTTGATTAACTTACATTGTCCTACGAATTTAGTGACCATTATAAATATAATTAAATGTTAGTAGAGTATTTATAGAACTAAATTTATCCGCATTGCCATTGAAAGCATTTTGGGGTATTATCAGAACATAATCGTTAACGGATTTTAGAAATTAACTGCACGTGCTATTTTTTGCCCCAAAATATGAAAGAGACAAATTTGCAATAAAGGTAAATAATTCTTATTAAAGCTATGCGTTCATTAGTCATGCCCCTTATCAATATTCAAGACAAGTACTCTGTATTTTAATGTCCCGATGAATATTTCAAATATTAACATGTCCAGAAACTAAGTGTCAGATAATCCCGAATGCATTAACACTGCAAAGCCATTTTTTCTCGCAAAATATTATGACAAACTGGGAGTAACCCATCAAAAATGATTGGACGAAAGGGTGCGACGGTTATTAAAAGGCACAATATTTACACAATGCAGTACCGGTGTTTTTTCTTTCTTTTAAGATTCGATTAATTTTACATTTTCCCCATCAAATTTGTCTGAGAAACTCGTTAACAAACGCTATTTTAATTTAGAGAGGGCTGCGTGAAGGTGTCGACGGAAAGTACCATTCTTTTAAAAACACTTCCATTTGTCGGAAGATTGGCGCCCACCATGCGAAATCAGCCGCCTATCGAAATAAAAGGGAAGCCTACCTGAAGTTGGTATATTTTGAGAACGCCCACCTACCAATTCCACGACTATCACCCGCTTCCTTCCCCTAAACTCACTCCCACTACCAACTTTCTGTCTTCTCACTCCAACTCCCAAAACTATCGCGCCGCTAAAATTATCGAATACAACCGGTAGATGTCGTTCCAATAACACTAAATTCTGCAGGCTGCGAACTCAGATTGATTGGTTATTCATTTTTTATTGTTTATGGAGCTTTACTATCCGAAAACGGTTAGGGTAGCATATCTTTAAATTATAAGTAATAATACGCAAATACACCAATGTTTTTATCTGTTTTCAGTTGCTCAAACTGTACGATACAATCGCGGGAACGTAACAAATTATGTTAAAGGTAATTAAAACAAACAAGTTACATCTATACATATGTTCAAAATTACTTTAGATATTTGTTTCAAACTTTTCATTCATTTGAACTGCCATTTGAAAAGTATACCTTATACTGGGATATATACAGGTTATTCAGGTGTAACTAATTCGATATTAATTATCTGCGACGAACAATTACTAAGCCGAAGTCTGTCACAGAACTGTGTTGTCTAGGCTATCCGGGACGAGCCTAACGTTTTGGCCAGCGTATTGTGGCATTCTTCAGAGCGTACTGCTGAAGAACGTCACAATACAGACGCAGTACGCTTGAAGAAGGCCACAGTACGCTGGCCGATACTTTAGCCAGCATGTCAGTGACGCGGCTCGTCCCGGAAAGCCTAGACAACATAAACTCCGGCCGCGGAAGCCTACGCAACCGTCACGGAACTGTCGCCCGGTGTAAGGAAGGCTCGCGACGCTCATAAAGCCTGTTTTACACGATCATTTTTCCATCATTTTTCGCCTGTACAGAAAAGATACAGGCCAGACTGGATGTAATTTGTCCGCAAAAATGACGCACGCTTAATTTTTCGGTACAGATTTCATCCAGTTTGACTACCGCGCACCTGGCGGCACTTCACGGAAGTTTCTCTAGTTTGTTATGCGTGTGGAGCGATATGATCATTTTGTAGTTGCCTGAGAGCGTTCTGATGTGTTGAATTATAATGTGAAGTGGTTATGTAAAGAGAAATAAAGTATGCACTGTATTCTAATATTGTCGCATCCGAGCTCAATCCTGACCTAACCTAACTTAATTTGTTACCACAGATGCGATGTTCAAATGTTTGAACTTCAGCGCTGTATGCGGCGATCGGAGGAAGTATTTTCTTCATGATTACATATAAAGACAGAAATGACCGTGTAAATCCAGTTTCGGCACCGAAACATACTGCGTAGAAACGAACGTCCTTTTTCCATCCATTCACTGTACAGAAAAATGATGAAAAAAGGATGCAAAAATGACCGTGCAAAACAGGCTTAAGTGCGGAACGGGGGCGAGCTGTCCGCAGAGTTGGGGGCGCATTCCTGCCTCCCCACGAACCTATCACCGCGCGTGGGCCAAGGGCGTCGATGCCCCAGGCTTCCGCCAGGGGGCGCCTTCTTGCCAAGTTGCGGCCGCAAGCCGTCGCGGCGCCGCGCCGCGCCGGTGGCGCCTGCTGCGGGCGAGTGGCCCAGTTCGGGCGGCCGCGGATCCGCTGGCCAACTTGCGCCGCCAGCTGACGCCCGGCGGGGGACGGGGGGGAGGCAGAGCGCGACCTCAGCGGCCGCGGTATTCGATACCCTCCACGCCACAGAAGCGAAGCGGCGGGGCCGATGGTTTCAAAGCATCCATGCTCCTACAAAAGCATCGATGTTTTAAACATCCACGAACTCAAGCCAATATTTTTTAAACATTGATGTTTTTTGCTAGATGTTTTTTCTTTCTTGATGTTTTGTTCCTGAATGAAAAATTTCCTTAATCAATTTTTTTTGTTAGTTAAGATCGCATCAACTACTAGGTCATTAGTGACCACTATTGCTTGTAACTATGGTAACTGTGAGGATGACACGTTATGATGAAGATAGGGGTCTGAAAGATCGAACACAATGCTACCCTGCTCGAGGTGGGATTCGAACCCGTGATCCTTCGGTCCGAGATCGCTACGGCATTAACTTCGCGATCTCAGTCATCCATATCGGCATTCAAAATTTTGTTAAAGTTAAAATATAAAATAAGACCTGATGGAACCAAAGTTTCCTTTGGAACCAGACGAACGCGGTTTGTGCTACCTTCATTGAAAGTCTATTACGCGCCCTCCACCGTGCCTGATGTTCTGGTCCTTCGCCCTTCCCTTATGTCGCTCATGGAAAGACTTTTATAACATTGTTTTCTGTTAAATATTAATTATAAATTAACATACATAGTTAAATACATTTTCTGTTCAATAGTTTAATGATAGATGTTGCTAAACTAGCGTTAAAACAACGATATTTAAAAATATTCATGGTTTTTGATCGATGTATTATAAGCATCGATGTTTTAATTTTGAACATCGATGCTTCACAACAGCGTTGTTTTGTTGTCCATGATGCATCGCAATGTTTCTAAATATGTTCAAAATTGAAAAATCCATCGTCCTAAAATAATCGATGCTTTTAAACATCGATGTTTTAAAACAGTTTAGTAACCTCCAACATTAAGTATTGACATAGAGCAGAATTTAATTTGACAAGACACCGTTTAATACTAAATAAGAAATATTTAATTGACAAAACAATTTTAAAAAATACTAAAAATAATTTTAAAAAAGCCTGGGCGCTAAAGATCATCTCAAAAGATTCACGGATTTCTCAATTTTCCAAGAGTAGTACGGAAAGAAAGGAAGGTCATAAGCTTCACCACATAAACTCAGTGTTATCCGTTATTTCATATTTTAACTTTTGCAAATAGATATTATGAGACTTTCATTCACAAACAAAATGAGGAAATCGTCAAAACCTCGAACACAAAACATCAATGTTAGAAAAACATTGGATTTAATAATTTAATGTTTAAAACAACGAAGTTTCTATAAAAACTTCCATGTATTGGAAACATCAACATCGATTTCGCATCCTTCCCGCCCGCACCAGTAAGTTTAGAAAAGTTGAGTAGTAATAACGCTTGAAGAATTTTTGGACAGTTCCAAGAAATTAATGTGCTTAAAAGCTATCATCCCCATTATTGGAGAACATCTTATGGTGTTACCACACTGATCGCACTATATCGGTTAAAAATGCCAATCGATCCCATAGAAGATTCCTTGGAATAGAAATAAAGAATGAAAACACAATGGAAACATCTCATTATTATGGTTCACCGTAGGTTACCCGAGTTGCTTCACTTCTGCGACTTTAGGGAGCTTACTTAAGCAATTCGGCAAAAGACGCTGGCTGCATGATCGCGAAGGGAGGGCCAACCCCTGCTTTCAGACGGCTCCGGAAGAAAATCGCGAGGTGCGTCTAGGCCCACCGCGTCCCGAGGCGGGCGGGCGGGCGGAGGGCGACGCGCCCGGGGGCGTGGGCGGGGCCCCCAGGGCGGTGACGACGCCACCCTGCCACCTAATGAATAGGCGGCGCTCCTCGCCTAACCTCGCTCGCCATTGTTTCCAGCACGCGATAAGAAAGCTCGCGCGGCCCGTAACCCGGACGCGACACGGGAATACGAAGCACTTGCAGCCAAGGACGTCCATACTCGCACAATGGTTGTTTTCAATCAGTATATCCATTACAGTTACGTGAACCATTTTTTTTCTTTTTCTTAGTAGGACTAATACCGGTTTTATTTCATCGTCAATTTAAAAAAAATATATACTGGCTGATAATTTTATTTCATTTTTAACGCAATGTATCACAAAATATCACGACTAGAAATATTATTTCACTTACCTCGAATAGCCCTACCATCGATGACATACACACTCAGAGACAATGAGAAAAAGAGAGAAAGAGGGAAAGAGGGAAAGAGCGAAAGTGGGAAAGCGGGAAAGAGAGGAAGAGAGAACGAGGAAAAGAGGGTAATAGGAAAGGTATATTTTAATTTTTAGAGGTACTTTCCATCACACAAAAAAGACATTTTCAGTTTTTCTTGAAAATGGGCTAATATTTACAATTCTGGCATCATTTAACACATCACTGCATTTATAATCACCAGAATAATTATAGTATAAGTACAATTATATGGTGTGTTTTTATTTTCAAAATGTGTTTCTATATTCTCGCTAATAATGTCTGATGCTAACCTGTCAAATAGAGAGTTTATTAGAGATTTTGCAAGTTGCCTCGGAAAACAGTAAGGACAAAAAACACAGCAAAATACTACCTTCATTCCCCTCGATAAATTCTTAAACTAAACTTTTTTTGAAAACATATTTTCTGATTCAATATAGCCACATTGTCATTATATTAAACTTTTCTGTAAAGTTTTCCCCTCCACGATGCCGCAGTTAACAACGTGTTTGTTTAAAGTGGAATCCGAAGGTAAATGGGGAAATAAATGTTGTAGTGGCAAATCGTAACGAATTAGAACAAACTAATGAAAAAATATTGCATTAATACTTAGGATTTCACGTAATTTGACCCTTTTTTTCAAATTAGTAAAGCGACAGAGATGCAAACAAATTTAAACTCCAAATAAGTAATAAAATTATAACTAATAGACCGAATTAAAGAGAGGAGTTAAAAAACATTGTCATATTATTCTTCAGTGGAGTATTATTAACTAAGCTGTGTTCCTGTTTTTCGTGAAATTCATAAGTTCCATGGAGAAACCCTCTCGAAGAAACTCCCAATTTAAAGGTAAAACGATTTACCTTAAAGAACACTTTAAAAGAGGTACTTAAGAAGCCATTAACAGGCGAAAAACTACATAATCACACATAAAACCCTTCCAGTACACAATTTTACTCAATCCTCACTCCCAAATCTCACCCGAAATCCCTCGCTTATCGCAATAGAAATGATCTGCGGGTGAAAAAAAGAAAAAAAAAAGGTTTTAACTGGGTTGCGCAAAATGGTGGATCTTATGAAGGTTGGATTACGCCGTAGAAGCTGCTCGCCGGCGCCAATATCCGCGCTTGGCCACCACCAGGGAAGGGATGCGAGCGAGGAGGGATGAGGGGTGGACAAAGGCCACAATAAAAGAAGCTTTAAGCGCCCGCGTGGTATTCACAGCGACGGTCATTTGCGCCGTCGCCGACGACCCCCGTGGCTCTCTCCGGGTAGATAAAGGCCCATTTAGCACCGGCTCGGGGCCCCGTGGAGCAAGGGTTATTGCTTGACTACGTTCTGAATGCCCGAACGAAGCAATATGTTGCTGGTGCGTACGCCCTTGTATATCACGTAGAGAACGTTATTATTGCGTGTGAGGGTGGGAACAAGATGAGATGGTAGCAGTGTTGCAAATGGGTTTTAACGTAAGGAATTTTGTTGATTTCGTCCCATGGCTTCGTTCATGTGGAACTATTTATCCAACATTTACAACACAGATATTTAAAAATATGTTTCTCATATTAGATGAGAATTATTACAATTGTAACTCGTTTCTGAACTTTCTTTATTTCTTCTTCTAGATCTTGATCTCTCTTCAAAAACATTTTCATTCAAACCCTTTAAGATGTCAAGAAAAAAGAATAGTAAAATATCAAATATTGTTATTGTGATAGTGTTATTGCGATAATATGTAAAAGATAAAATCCCGATTAGAACCAGTAGTGAATGTGTACCATAAGGAAGGTTCTGTGACCACATTGTAGATCCGATACGAAACAATGTGTCGCTGCTGGGCTCGCGATCTACAAAGAGTTAAAATGAAATAACAAAAATATATAATAAATAATAATAAAATAATACATAAAATAATATACAAATTCTCATTTGCATATTAATTCTCATTTGCAATTCTCATAGCATTCAACTGCGTTAATCGGGAGCGGGCGACTGAAGGCTTGCATTCTTTATTTTATGTGTATTTCAAATAGGTTTTAAATAATTTCTAAAAGATTAAATTGTAAACGTATTACAAAAACTTATTTCTAAGAAACGAACAAAGAAATATGAAATACTATTCACATTCTAACATACGTAGCATCCAACTGCCTCAAAGCACCTAAAATTGCATTCAAGAAGAGTATTTTCAGAGCGAACGACTAACTTTGACGCCCAATTACTCCAAAAATGCACATAGATTCGAAAAATGTGACAGGACTTAATTTGAAAATCTGTTTTTGATGCACATTTCATTACAAAAAGCTTGCATTTTCCTAATTGTAGTTGTAGAAAGGCACCGAAAAAATTTTGAATTTTTTCAACTATCGAAAAACCAGGGTTTTCAACCAACATGAATTCTGCACCATTTTCGTAAACTTATTTCAGACTATCCAACAACAAAATTTAAACAAAATATAAGGGGCCATTTTTTTAAATTTTGAAAATAACTAAATTTAGAAAATTCGAGGGGCCGCAACGACATCAGCTAGATTGATCGGGGAATATCAATTTTTGGATAAAATCGGTAGAATGGTTTATTCGCTAGCGTTGTTCACAGACAGACATTTTGCCGTCAATCGATTTTTCGGTATGAAGGCTCCCCAAGCCAAGGATTTTGGCCGCACTAAGGGTTAGAGGGATTTTTTCTAAATTTAGAAACAGGATTTATCCACTTTTTCGTTACCAGGGCAATGTTATAAGAGTTTTTACGCCACACATTCACCGTTTTTTTGCTCAACATTACATAACTTTCTATTCTTAAGAAGCTCCTTCTTAAGTGCGGGAAAGTAACAATGACGAGAGTCGATGAAGTAAAGCATTCTTTTGAAAGGGTTCGACATAAGGAAAAGGATGGGAACCCTCGGTCTAGCGCAAGTAAGTGTGCGTACGAGGGAGCGGAAGGAACAAGGATGAGGGATGAAGAAACAAACATCGCACGCACTCTAGGGTCTGTTTGTTTACGGCACTTTCGCGATATTAGCCCGGTATTCATATAACGTAGTACTTCTGCGCAAAAATAGTATTGCCGATACTGAGATAGTGATGAGTAATAAACTCGGCCGTCAACGCACCGCTAAAAGAAGTTTCGCCTCACGAACAAAACGCCACCCTGAATACTCGCGTAAAAACCGGCTCGCGACATTAGATGGATAGAAAAACATGGAAAACTCACGATTCAGGACAGGCGGTCCTTAGGTTCTCTAGCTTCTCTGAATCGATCCAACTATGCACTAGGTGTTTGAACGTGTTCCAAGTAATCGAACCCTAGACCTTCCCGATCATCAAAACCGCGGAGGTAATGATGTTACTGCTGACATATCACAGCAGATTAAATTTTGTAAAAAAAAACGTTCATTTCACACTATCGATTTGAAAGTCACAAAGCATTACCTCCCACCGTCATTAGCCAGTTGGGGGGGATAGGTTGCTGGTAGCGGCCTGTGCAAAATTCACGGACCCCTGAAACAGAGGAACGGAATAGCTACGAAGGGGTGCACGTTCACATTGCGACAAACAGGGGAGCAGTGCCGTGAATCAAAGAGTTGATAACGGGCGGGCGGTCGAGTAATGGAATAGCTTCTATCTCCCGCTTTTCGCCACTCTTCGATTCACTCTCCATTCCGCGGCACACAGAGGTTTCCGGGGAAGTGAGACATGAATATCGGAATAAATATACCGTTAAAAGCATCCATTCAGCGCCATTCAAGCTTTGCTTCATTGCGCATTCCCCAAATTTAGTGTGAGCAACGCTTTTTTTTTCGAGCTTTTTAAGAGAACTCGCTTTTGTTCGTGGTTGTAAACCTGACTTGCAAATCGAAAAGGAAAAGATTGAGCGGCATGGGCGTTTTTTACGGCGAGTATTCAAGGTGGCGTTTTGTTCGTGGAGGCGAGAACTCTTTTAGCGGTGCTTGTGACCGGCGAGTTTTATTTCTCGATCACTATCTCAGTGATCGGCAATCACTATTTTTCGCGCAGACTACTACGCTTATATGAGAGCTGGCTCATTATGTGGCGAATACCAAGTCGGTTAATGTTTAATCACCGCAATCGAATATAACATCTACCTCGCGAGTAAAAATGGTGGAGTAAATTGAGTCACGTATACCGACGACTTTGGGAGTACGAATTTTTCCACAGATGGTTTAGAAATGGAATGGTGCTTCAGTCATCTAGTAGAGGCAAGTTCATTCACTTTCACACGACTTATTAGCATATTAATGAAAAAGGACCATTGCTATGAATATACATTGCTCTTTATTTGTATTGTGTCATTATTGAAGAGGACGTCTTCCGAAATATTCAAAATATTTAAAATATTTAAATATTTTACGAAAGGGCTCGAGACCAACGTTAATGAACTTTAGAATTAGAGAGGTATTGGACAAATAAATAAATCATCACAGGAGATTTTGAAATTCACAATTATGAACATAGTGTTTTTAGACAGTTTTTAACGTTAGACAGATCAAAATTGTGTGCGGTAATGCCCTGACACATAACGAAGAAATTAATTATTACAAGAGAATGAAATAACTTTCTGTGAGGCATTTTGTTTTGGTGTACTATTCGCAATGAATGTTATTTCGAATATTTCCACCTTAGATCACATCTACTAATCAAACTATTGGAACTGTCATTTTTGTACCTTTCGATTAACGTTACAACAAATCGCACTCACATTTTTAAGTATGTTTACATAGTTTTTATTGCATCTCCAAAAATAATATTTTCAGTGATAAGTCACAAAACTATTAATAACCTCCATCTTCAATTCTTTTGAGATTGTATCTATGAATTTTATCCTTTTGGGACTCGTCGGAAGTGCTACGAGTATTTCCTTTGTAAAAGAAGCGTATATACGCAATCGGTTGCTTGAAATAACCCCGACACGGCTTCCGGCACCGTCTTTTCATTACAAACAAATTGTTGCCGGCCCGGATGGCGTAGATCGTTAAAGCAGTAGTGCTGAAGCTATCTCCGACCAAAGGATCGCGAATTCGAGTCCCACCTTTGGCATGATTGTATATGTGTTCGTTCTTTCCCCCCCTAATATCCCCACATCATGTCATCTTCACATTTAACATACCGTTCTATATAATAGTGGTTGCTAATAACCTAGCAGTTGATTCGACCTTTAATAACAAAAAATACCAAATTATCCGGCACTTAAACAAATCTATTTCTTGGCTCCAGACGCGTTTCCGGTCTCTGCTGCGGGGGTGATAGCGGCTGCGAACGGGCAGCCAGCGGAGGCAAAGGCGGACGTCCCGTCGCGTCCCGTCGCGTCGCGTCGCGTCGCGACGGCCGGGAGGAGCTTTGGATTGCGCTCGCAGCGGCGGACTGTCCACATTCCCGTGGTCGCCTTCAATTTGCAGCGAGTGCGACCCAGACCGCGGCGGCGGCGGAGACGGCGGCCTGCAAGAATGTCGACTCATTTGCTGGATCCGCTTCCAGCCTCGCCCTTCAGACCGCTCCTTCTTCGTCCACCCCAACCCCCTGTCCCACCCGTCCGCCCCTGAACGCCCTCGTTCTGTCTCCTGCCCATGTCGAAAACTACTGTGCACCCGTACACACTCTTTCCATCCCCAACCTTCCAGTTCCACCCAATGAATCTATTCATCACTTTCTGTCCCGTTCCTTCTCACCCCCACAATCCCACATCCGCGTACACTCCGTTTACGATACCCATTTCGTCTGTCCACCCTCATTGACACTGTTCACACATGTCCATCCCTACTCATCCACTTCAACTAGTTTGTTCACGGCTATCCATTGCGTTCACCTCCAAACACCCTACCTATCATCCTGCGATCCCCTGCTTCCACATCCACCGCTAGCCGTCCTGTCCTACCACATCTCCTAAACAAGTTCGTTCACTGCTGTACACTCCTGTCACTCCCAATCTACCCATTCTTACCCATCCATTCCATTCACTCCAATCAATCCTATTCCTCGCAATCCACTCCGTTAACCCCTATCAACAATAATCTATCCCATTCACCTCCTGTCCAATATCATACACCCGGCCCACCTCCATATTGCACGTCTACCCCTCTCTCTCTCTACCTCCCTCGTTAGAGTCTACCCTCTTACTTCCACTTTGAGCATCTCCGCCTGCTTCTTTCAGACCCGTCTACCTCCGCCCGGTCCTGCCAACTCACGTTCATCCCGTCCATCTCCGCCCTGCTCTTTCAACCCATTCCGCACAGTCTTGACACGCTGTCAGACCTTCCCCCAGCCTGCCTCTCACCACCCCGTGGTCAGACAAAAAAAAATACGTACGACATAAGGGAGGGTCTGCTCTAATGGAAGTGGCCACACCGCATTTCTTCGGAATTCTTGCAGAATAATTGAGTCCATCCGAAAGAATTTTTTCAGGGTCCAGCTTCCAGCTGAAATGAAAATATTTCTCGTGTGCACCGGCCGGAAGAATGAAATTGCTCCGAGCCGTAACATTGGGGATTTCATTGCCGCGGGAATCTTGCGCGGAGACGAGGATGAGAGATATATTGCCAGAGGGAATTAAAGCAGAGCGGTACATGTCACGGCAATCTCAGGAGTTTTATCTCGACTTTACCATGAAAATATTTTTGAAATAACCCCCAAAAACCTTTGCTACCTCCCTGAAGTTTTTTGTAACATGCTCTTCATCGACGGTTACGAGTAGATTGCGATTTTGGAAAGTGTTATGTTTGGACTTACAGTGCTAAAATGAAAATTTTGAGTTTTTTTTACATTGTGTCTATAGGATGCGATCCGTATCCCTTATGTTAGGGTGCAGCTCCGATAATCACCGGTTTTGGTTCGGCGATTACCACAAAATACAAATCAGAGCAACCAGTCGCTAGAATTTTGATGTTGACAGCAGCTGAATTCGGCCTACCTATATGCATGTAGCGAGGTTGGAAAATCGACCACCGTCGAACTCATGATCACCCGGTCAGCGACGCTACAGAAGCGACGGCAATATTTCTTGTGGAAAATTAGCTATTGACACGTGATCGAGTGGTTCAGCACGTGAATCCTTGTGGTAAATATTAAATGCACAGAATTTTAGTGATCGTACTAATTTAAAAGGTTTAATTAAAAATATTTTCGTCTAAATAGAAAACACTACGAAATATTATTTTATCTTTCATTTTGAGGATCATTTTTCTCATTATTACTTCACAATTAATGTAAGCATTAGTTCTATTTCAACATTTAGTTTGACGTGAGTGTGTGCTTTGATATTATATTTCTAATATTTCTATTTTAGAGGGTTCTTTAGGTAAATTTCCTGACACACATTTTAAAGAGCATGTTTGTGAGACAGTTATGGGTTTATCCTCGCACTGTGTGTCAATGTGGCGTCCAGGGCACGCTTCCGTGCGTATGCGCTCCCAGCACTTCCGGCGGTCGCGTTGGAGCCGTGCCTCGCTAGAGCACGTGCGCCGCGAGGCGTATGTACGAGGCGAGGATGGTGAGGGGGATGGGAATGGGGATAGGGATGGGGATGGGGATGGGGAAGGGATAGGGAAGGGAAAGGGAAGGGGATGGGAAATGGGATGGGGATGGGAATGGGAGATGGGATGGGGATGGGGATGGGGAAGGTAAAAAGGGGAAGGGATGGGATGGGACGGATACGGGGAGGGGATGGGGATGGGGATGGGGGATGGAGGGATGGGGTATGGGGGAGGGGGAATGGATGGGTAAGGGGAAGGGGATGGGGAAAGCGGAAGGGAAGGGTGGGAGGGGAAGGGGAAGGGAGGATGCGGGATGGGGATGGGGAAATGGGGATGGGGAGGAGGAAGGGGATGGGAAGGGAGGGGAAGATGGGGATGGATGGACGGGGACGGGACGGGACGGGAACGGGGGGACGGGGAACGGGGACGGGAGGGGATTGGGATGGGGTGGGATGGGATGGGGAGTGAGGGAAATGGAGCCCAGGGGAAGGGGAATGGGAAGGGGAAGGGGAAGGGACGTATCATGGGGATGGGGATGGGATGGGGAGAGGGGAGGGGATGGGATGACGGGGAAGGGACGGGAGGGGACGGCGGACATGGGAAGGAGTGGGGACGGGGATGTGAGGATGGGCAGAGGGCGCGGACAAAGACAAATCGTTGCACCGCAGCCCTGAGTGTCATGCCTTCGCTGCTTCCAGAACTCGGCTTTCCACCAAGGTTGGTCTGCTTTTGTTCGTTCGATGCAACAATAGCACTGCAGCTCGTGAAACCATTTGCACTCCTGCATATATGATCTATATATTTTTACTCATCTGTAAAATTTTTGCTTGATGCAACTTTCATTTTAATCTTTCGTCATACGAGAGCATAACCTAAAGATATGATTGTTAAAAACATAGTAAAGATTACTGAAATAAAATCATATCATTGAACCAACTAGGTAGGTGCTGCCAATTGTATCAAACGATATTTATCATACACATAAGTCATTACACACGATTGCTATTTGTTCTCAAAGATGCTTTCATACATGACAAAATCAAATGCTTCTCCCATTCCCTGAATATTAGAATTCATAATTTTCAACCCACATAAATTTAGTAGATATTTTGCCTTGCCTTTTGAATAAATACCAAGTTTCATCCAAAACCATATTAATAACCTTCAGCGTTCAGCTTTTTCAATATATTCCATCAAAAACGTCAGATATTTCAATAACTATATATTTCTTTCCATGGCAAATGTAAATAAATGACTACTATTCTTGTATATTGAAACTAAATAATGTGCTAATCAAGCCCCTGTCCAAAAATAACCACTACCATTTTTGGTCCATCTATTCTAACACTCCGCTCCTAGAGTCTGAGCATATAGGTCTGCTCCAATTCTAAAATAACTTCAACATTATCCAAAAGAATTACCTGACACTTAGTGACATTTATTGACTTTCATATGACCTGTTATATGATTTTAGCTTAACTTTGAACAATGTGAGTTTCAGCTTCAATCATCAGGTGTTTTATCAATAATGAAGAAGTTTCTAATTGCAGTCGCATCAGCTCTTCCACAATTTTTCAATGAAAAAAGATTGTCTCTTGGCACTGTGCTGGTGTCACTTCCCTGTCTGCGATGACTCATTGCTAAAAGTGCTTAAAAGCTATTGACTAATTAAATATTTCAACTTAATAGTATATAAATGTTAGAGGTCAATATTTCAATGAGATTAATATAATATATATTAAATAATAGATGAAAGATGTGAGTGAAATGTTCAAGTCTTCCTCCTGTGTCGACAGATCTCAAAAGGTTCAACAGGCTCGTGGAGAAGGGCTCGGAGAGCGCCCCTCTCGGTGCCAGTCAAAATCCACAAAACAGTCATAAACACCCAAAATGTCCGTTGAACATCGGGCAAAAGGCCGCCCGGCCCGCCAACAAGAGATAGCGCATGTTAGCTCACCTCTCTTCATGCGTGAACTCTCCAAATTCTAACTGAAACAGCGCGTAAATATATTTAACTTTAAAAAATAGTAACCTTGAAATAAGTTTAGAATTCTTTCAATGATGTTTTATCACTATAATAAATATTTTTTCATGAACTTTCTCCTTGTCGGTAATACAATACATATGTAGCGCCACGGCGCAACTACAACGTTAGCCAACGTTCGCGAAATGAAATAGAATATTTCTGATGTAAACAACTGGGCCACGCCCCAAGGCATGCTCCATGTTGTATGCAAACAGTGGGTGTCAAAAAAAACCGGTTCAATGACTGAAACAGCTCTGTACTTACAGTTCACTTGAATACTTGTAAAATCTAATTGTTAGTTGGAATCAATATTAATTTTCTTGTTCAATGTCTTTCTTTCATTCCAGGGTTGAACAGCATAGATAATAATTAATGTTGTATTGCAATTCTCTCATCTAATAACTTTCAATTGAAAAATTCAGTAGTGGTAAGGAGATATCTTGTGTATATCCATAATATGTAAAGGAAATAATCCCACAGAATTTCCTTTACATATAATTCAATTGAATGTACTTTTTCTTTGGATTGGTTGTATATTACTCTTATAGGCTACACTTGCATTCCATAAATATCATTCTATTCAATTTATGAGTGATCCCATGCCTCCTAATTTCATATACTTTCTCTTTTTCTCTGCCAACTGCTCTAAGTGCTCTTCCATTGCTGAGCTTTCTTTTCCTGAACTCTTTCTTTCCTAGGCTTTCAAGCTAGCTTTTCTCTATGCAGGATTTAATATTTTCCATTATTTTCTACTTATCGTCTTGTTGTATAGTTTGTTATATTGCTATATATCCCTGTCTCTGTTTATATAGCTTTTTAATACTCTCTTCTTTGTACAGATATACTTAAAACCTTACTTCTACATAGTTTATTTTGGGCTAGTTTTTTAATCTACTTGGTAATTTAATAGTTGAGACAACAAATAGTGACCTTGAGTTTATATCTTTGCCCTACAATCTGACAGTTAGGGTGATAATTCTCGTTAACATAACGTAATCTGAGTGTCCATATGGAGCATTCAAGTATGTTTTATGAATACTTGTCTAAATGTGTATTTTAATTTATTGTAAGTGGCAAAATTTCGAAATTTTTCTATATCCATTGTTATTGATTGTTTGTCCCAAAGTACTACGTGCTGACTATCGTAGAATAGTTGGTTTGTGTCCAACTTTAAATTTAAGTCTTCACTAATTACAGATGATCTCTGTATTAATTGGAAAATGGCTTTCGTAATTGTTCATAAAAAAGGTTTACGTTCTTCTTTTTCCTTCTGAGCATATTTCAGACTTCGATTTAATATATTGTTAGTGGATTTTTTATTTACATAACAATAACTTCATAATAGAGTCCATTTCTATCGATCAATATTGGTTAATTGCATTACTTGCTCTTTTACTTTGGGTCTAATCCAAATAGATCTCATTGTCATTGCAAGATCTTTATTCCCTTACATTTTTTTCTTAGTTTCTTGTTAAAGATGCCTAATAATCTACTTCCTTAAAA